CTCTCTCTCTCTCTCTCTCTCTCTCTCTCTCTCTCTCTCTCTCTCTCTCTCTCTCTCTCTCTCTCTCTCTCTCTCTCTCTCTCCATGTGTGTGCGTGTGTTTTAGACTGTCCCCCAAAAAAAAATTGTATGATATTTTAAATGTTGTAATGTTTTGATGAAACAGCCGTTTCGTTGCTGTGTTCTGAAAGGTACAAGGTCCTCCATGTCTGCACACCTGAGCGTGGAGTGCATAAACACCAATTCACTTTTCAGCACACCTGCACCTTATATTTTGCCTCTTCTCTTAGTGGTAGTCATTCGTATGCATTGAGTAGAAGGGGAGGGAGAGGAGAAGGGGGCAAAAGAAGAGGAGGAGAGTGGAGGGATGAGAAGAACAGGGGACAGAACCTCATAGGGTGCTTAATACTAACCCACAGAGAAACCGCTAGAGACTGGCACAAGAGGCCAGTCAGGGATTGGGTGGCAGAGAGAGATGAGTTGAGCGCATGTTGCCTAAGGTAAGTGGCCACCAATGCAGACTGGACAGGACCGGTTCAGCTGTCAACCGTGGAAGCACCGCATACAATTCTCACAGTTGCAGTTGCTGCATGGAATGGTGTGGTGTAGACAGATGTCACATGCAGCATGGCTCCCACATGCTAGGAACACAGAGGCACAGTGACCACAATGTATAGGCACTGCCATTGCAGCCCCTCTAAAAATAGGGCATGCCATGCCAGCACACCGTACATAAGCACAATGTTGACTGTCATCATAGGTATGTACGTGTATGGCATGCGTGCTCGGTCAGTGCCTCAACCCACCTGCCTCTTCTGTATCCATTACCACAGCTAACTTAATTTCCCTCTGTCAGCGCCTTTAGAGACGGATGGCACTAATGCAGTAAGGTTTTCCCTTTTTCTCCTTTTTCTTCCTTTTTCAAAAGAACTTTGCTGACTTACTAACGGTGTGGTGCTCACCAAGTGGAGTTGCACCTCGTACACTTTCCATTGCACACTTAATACATAATCCAAGACTTGAAAATTGAAGTTTTTTTTCTCACAGCACTCCCCACATTATCCTGTAAATGTTTGGTTTGTACATGGGGATTCCAAATGGAGCAGCTGCTTCCACCTCTACAGGATTTTCTCTGTTCATGGGCAGTCCCATGCCATTCAGCCACCTGAACGGATTTGAGTTTTTCGGTCCCAGATGTGCCAAGGTCACAGCACCATGTATCATGGACAAACCGGCAGGCCCAGAGGCTAAACGCCAATTCAGGTCCCGTATCCACAGTTGGTAGAAGTCCGGTAGGAACCAGTACTCGACAGAGAAGTCCGAGTCTCAGTCCGAAGTCAGCCGAAGCATTCAGGGACGGTCCAGAAACTTGCGGAACTGACAACAATTTGCCCCTGACAGGCCCTGGGGGACTGTTACTGGTCCAGAGCAGGCAAAGATTGTCAATTGCAGCTACTGCATTAGCTACTTCAGTACCTGGGAGCGTCACTTGTTCGTTCGCATCTCGTGGAAGCGCTGCCGATGTTTGGTGTGAGACTGATTGCCAAACCGGAGTTTCCTGGTGCTATGGTTAGGGTTCAGTTACGGTGGAGAGAGAGACATAGTCGCAGGAAGAGAGTGAGTGCCGATGGCATTCAGAGAGGGTTTGATCTAGGAAGAGAGAGAGAGGGAGTGATACGAGTCACAGAGACAGAGAGACAGAGAGGGTGCATATCTGATTATGGTGGGCTTGGCGGCCATAGCTGCCTTATACTTTATGTTCAGAGTCTTCAGACTATTGTAACAATTTTGTAAATTGGAATAATAATTTTGAGTTTGTGCTGATCTCTCTTTTGTGGCTTTGATTGGCGAGTGCCATGTGAACTTTGAGTGCTCGCATGGTCGCGAAGTGGGAGTCAAGTTGATTTCGGATCATTGCACACCAGGCAGGCACATCACTGCGTCTTCCATGTTTTCTGCACATAGCCATTCTTTCTTTCAGTCCTTGATACCGTTCCCCTGCAGGATAAATGGTCCTCAGGTGAAGGCCTTCTTCCATACAGAGATCCCCCCTTCAAATATTATTCGTGGGAAAACTTTATCTCTAGGTCTCTAAAATAAGAGAATGATCTTGACGTTTCTTGGTTGTAGGGGTGTATGGAAGATACGCACCCCTTGCAAGCCCTGTACAGTATACCCCATTCACATACAGGCTTGTCCGTGTGTGGGGGGGGCAGAAACACTAATTCACACATTATAATGTTAGTTTTTTCCCACGCTTCACCTATGAACCTCTTCAGCAGTGATCCTTGCCAGTGGTGGAACTACTCCGGAATTGCAATATGCTGTTCTTTTGCAGGGACTCAGGTCGTTTTTCTTATTTTACCCTCCCCCCCCCCCCCCCCCACCTCACACAACTCCCAATAATTTCATCTCAGATTTCCAGCATCGTTGTCTTCCCTCCATCTGTACAAAGTGAATTGGTGACATGATTAGAAGACAACTTGTACAATGATTCATAATCAAAAGAATTGTAACACGGTTGGAATGCAGTTGGACCTGCCCAGTTTTTTCACTACTCAACATCCTGCCATGGAACATCTGCTTCCTCTCGTGTTTCCAAGTTCTTCACTCGAACTACTTCTCTCTCGAATTCAGAGGTACCTATAATACACATGCGCTTGGCATTCAATCTTTCTGCGTGCTTGAACACCCACTTCATCTTTCTATTCTCAAGAATTAAATCAACGGATCGCCCACCACGGCGCAACTTTGTGGCAATCGACAGAGCACGAACACGCACATCAGCATTGTCTTCCACCATAGCCACAACAACATCATCAACCCGATGTGGTAGTGTGGGAAGGAGGCCTTTTTCCTTCAACAGCTCAACAATTACCGCATCCCCGAAGCCAAAACCACAGGCCGGAGTGTCTTCTCCACCCAAGCTGGACAAAAGGCAGTCATAGCGTCCTCCCCCACAGATAGCTCGCAGCTTTCCTTCCTTGTCAAATCCTTCAAACACAATGCCCGTGTAATAAGCTAGTCCTCTGACGACAGAGGCATCGAACTGTAGCCACTCTCTATAACCATAGCCCTCTGCAAGTTCAAAAAGCATTTTCAAATTCTTCACAGCTCTGTCATCCGGTCCCAGCAACTGTTCTAATTCCGCAATTGACCGAAGCTCCATAGCCGACAAGATACCCTTGATTGCATTTGTAGGGATCCCGATGGCACTGAGCTCCTTTTCAATCTCCTCTTGTGGCAGTTTACCAATCTTGTCAACGATTACACAGACTTGCACAAAGGCTTCCTGTGGCACACGGTACATCTCGAGGACACACTGAAGGACCTCGCGGCTCGACAAGCGAATACCGACGTCTTTCTGAGTGATTCCCAGTCGCGTGAAGAGAAGAGTTATGGCAGAGAGAAGCTCAGCCTCTGCCTCCACTCCTGGTACACCTACGATATCCATATTCCACTGATAATGCTCTCTTCTTCTCCCACGTGTCATTCTTTCATAGCGCCAGCATTGACCAATTATAGACCACTTAATAGGCAATGAGAGACCTTTTCCTTTCTGAAGGATAAGGCGAGCAAGAGACGGAGTCAACTCCGGTCGCAGGGCCACACGTCGGTTCCCCTTGTCCTCAAAATTATACAGCTGCTCTGTGATTTCCTCACCTGCCTTTCGGACAAACAACTCCTCCGATTCCAGCACAGGAGCATCTACTTCCTCGAACCCAAAGCACCGCGACACTTCCCGGAAATGGTCGAACAGCCAACTTCTTAATCTGAGGTCTTCAGGGAAGAAATCACGAGTTCCGCGCGGTGGATTAACATCAATCATCTTCACCAGTTGTGTCGACGACAGTGGCCTCGGTCCGGCCGAGCCTGGACTTCTCGAACTCTTCTTCTCTTCTTCTGCTGCCGAGGTCGCTACGTTCGATAACCGACCACCACTCCATTGCTGCTGCAAGTCACTCTCACTTTCTTCGTTGCAAGCAGCAGCACCTGCAATTTCCCTACCTGCTGATCTCAACGAATGACCAGCAGAAGACGTGATAGAAGAAAATTGATGCTGATGGCGATCGGCTGCGCTTCCTGAAAACGTGCACAAAGCCAAAGCACCAGAGGACACATCTTCGACCCTTAGCACCCGGTGTGCTTCACAGCCCCGCCGCCATTGCACCCGAGAGGTTCCCGCCAAACGCCCTACTCTAGTATTGGGTTTCAGAGTAATCAACCCGACTGCATTGCTCTGTCCCCTGTGCAAGCATCTTCGCAATCCACACAGACAAGTGGAGAGAACGAGCCTACGGGCCTCCAACACAAAGGGGTGGGCATTGCTACGACCACAGACAACAAGCCCACAGAAGCGCATATCTTCTTCGTCCTCTTCTTCCTGGCCACAAGCAAAAAGTCTTCACCTTCACTCATGCGATGGGTTCATATAACCAAACTGGCAACGCGCGTGCCTGCACAGCAAAAGAAGCGAAAACAATCCCTCCCTACCCTCCTTCCCCCCTTCTCCCTTACCCATCCACCAATTCACCCCCCCCCTCTTCCCGCTCCCCCC